GAGAGAGAGAGAGAGAGAGAGAGAGAGAGAGAGAGAGAGAGAGAGAGAGAGAGAGACTCTGCACAGTAAGTTTAAAAACGGCGATAGGCGCATCTTTAATCATCTCTCGTGCTCTACCAGAGGCTACGTTAAATTTCCTCCCGATTATTAAAACTCGACGCAATCCGTACTCTGTGGGATAAAATCGCGAGATGAGTCGATCGAGGCGGCGTGTACGCGCACGGTAACCCTTTCCTAACGATTTTGGAATTTTGAATATTTCACCGAAGGGGAAATACACTGCCACCTACCCGTTCTGCTCAATCACCGGCCAGTAGCCCGACGTTACGAAATGTTTAACGACAATTCGCGTATATACGCGAGGCTGAAATTAATTAGCTCGCACAGACTTTCCGTGTGTGTTTTCGCCGCGCTCTCGATCGAAAGTGGAAATCTCGTCGTTGAGTAACCATCGCGACCTACGAAATTGTGTCCGGTAGTAATAATCGTGGAAACTTTAACCATCCTGCTATTCCCCTTCTGTCCGTGTCTCTTTCTCGTTCGGACAATGGACGACCCACCTTTGTCCGAGGGAAACTTTGAGAACAGGGACGTATGTTGAATTATGGCCGACTTCTCCGCTTCCCTCTTTTCGTTCGTTTTATTTTCGCTCGTTGGCGGCGAGACTGGGTCAAGTCCGGGGGAACGAGATACAGAGGAAAACGAGAAAGACCTGGGGGATGCCATTCGGAGATCTTCGATTCCAAGTTAAGGGTGGAAAAGTTTGGTGTTGTTTTTTTTTGGAATTTGAACAGAGATGATTAATATTTTCGATTGATTGGAGATTGTGCGGACGAATACATTTAAATAATACATTTAGAATATAGGAGCATTGCGAATTTTTATATAGTTGAAACATATGTTCAATTATTCAAGTATAAATATAAATATATTATATTATATTATATAAATATAATATAAAAATATAATTATATAAATATAATATAATATAAAAATATATTATATTATATATCGTTTAAAAGAAAAAGTTAAATTATATCCTTATATGGTAGCAACAGAATCCGTGAAGAATTCCCGCAAAATCGTGAAAATGAAACTTGGAAACTTTTCATATAAAAAACGTGAAAAGAAATTGAACAATTTGTCATCAAAATCTATTCAGAAAATAGAGGAAACCGTGCCATTGAAGTCGCTTTTTGATTCATCCCGATATCTCAATCGGTTGCCGAGATATAAAGATTCAAAGTGTCCATAACGTTTGGCACGGTGCAGAGACTATGAACGGGTCAATGACCTATTTATTTTTCTTGGAAATGCGTATTACGTCCTTCTAGGAATCGCGTCTGGCCGCTTGTCTGGAATTTGAGATAGGTCAGTGAGACGGGGTGCGAGCGAAAGGTCCGAATAAGGGACAAGGACGAAGATAGTAAACGATTAAAAATTACCTTTTTCTTTACACGACGATATCTCGGCAACCGGAAGTCGTATCGAGATAAACGAAAAAGCATTTTAAAGGGGAAGAATCCGCGCTTCTAACGATCGTTGATTCGTCGACCGGAAGTTATTATCTTCGGAGTTATAGCGGTTCAAAGTTTTTCTAATTTTAATAGAGTTTAAGTGGGTTTTAGACGAAGAATTAAAAATTATCCTTTTCTTTCCACGATGATATTTTGGGAACCGGAAATCGTATCGAGATAAACAAAAAAGCGTTTTAAAGAGCAAGAATCCGCGCTTCTAACGATCGTTCATTCGTCGAGCGGAAGTTATTATCTTCAGAGTTATAGCGATTCAAAGTTTTTCTAATTTTAATGAAGTTTAAGTGGATTTGAGATGAAGAATTAAAAATTATCCTTTTCTTTCCACGATGATATTTTGGGAACCGGAAGTCGTATCGAGATAAACAAAAAAGCGTTTTAAAGGGCAAGAATCCGCGCTTCTAATAATCGTCCAATCGTCCACCGGAAGTTATTATTTTCGGAGTTAATAGAGGCTCAAAGTTTTTCTACTTTTAATAGAGTTGGAAGAGAATATTGGCCCATAATGATTTTATCAATGGTATATTGGAAACTTTAAACGAAGATTGAAGATATTAATTGTAGAAATTTGGATTTTTATTTAATCCTGATTGATTTAGATTCAATTGCATTGATCGATCAAGTAATTATTAAGCAAGTTCTATAATTTTTGAACAATTTTCTTAATTTTGAAATATCACTCGCGTTCCAGAGGGTGTACGAAATACCGGAAGTGGTAAAGTGTCGAAGAGGGCGAGGCCAATAGACCCCGATACCGAGGACAACCGCGACAACCGTGACAACGAGGACTATTATTACGAGGACGTGGATGAAAGAAACAATCCCACGAACGAGGCACCCGTCGTTCCTCCAGGATTCCTCAGTCCATCGGTACGAGAGTATCTGGATCTTGGTAAATCGATACCAGGTACGTAACTAAACAATGATTCTTCCCTTTCTTCTCTCATTTCTCTACTTTTGTTTTCCGTATGTTTCCCTCTCGTTTAACCCCGTATCTTCTCTTTTTCACGATATCTTTTAATTCGTAACGAGGCAAATTCCCATCTCACTCAAAATTTAAACTCGTAAAACTAACGTAACAATGAACGTAACAAAACTATTATAAGAAAGATAAACGAAATTAATCGAACTCCTTACAACATCCAACGATCAAATGCAAAGGAAAAAAAAAAAATAATTCCAATAAACATATTTGTTCCTCCCCATAAAATCTAATATCTAACGATAGAGAAAAGACGGAGGAAACATCTTTGTGACAATTGCCGAGGAACCGTTGAAATTGGCCGTTCACGAGCCAACATCGCATTTAAATTCGTTTGTCCCGATATCCTTCCCGAACGAGCACGAGCTTTCGACGAGTTTGAGCGGGTTTGAGCGGCCTGTTTATGCGGATTGCGGAAGACAAGAAACAAATAGATTGAAAATCGTTATTGCTCGCCGAGCTATGCAACATTATTGTTCCTCTTCAACAGGAAATGATTTTTATCCCTTTCCGCAATCGACTCGACCTCGTGTTCAAGAGCGTTTCATCAGAACTGGTTGGATCTTCTCTATTTCACGAATTCATTGAAAAGTTATAATTTGGCAAATATTTAATAAGATTGTAATAGAAAAAAAAAAAAAAAAAAAAGAGAAAAAGATTGAGCGAGCATTTATATTACTAGATTCCTTCTCTTCGATTCATTTTCTATTCCACGTTCAAACGAGCATGTCAAATATATACGGGTATACGAGTTAACCCCATTTTTCTATCTTCGTGTCCCACTTAAACGAAGATTGTATCATACATACATACGGAAGGAAATCACGTCTCTTCCTAGGAAATATCGTCTAATTTTATGCGCATGTGGATTTTACAATTCGCATAAATCCAACGTTACGTTCCCTCTTTCGCACAGTGAAGAATTTATATATGAATGAATGAAATCTCACGCGGCATCCGAGCTATCATCCGACCGTCACACTCCATTTACATTTAAACGTACATTACAGTGTAATGTAATTAGAAGAACGTGCAATAAATTCATCAATCTATCGATTATTATTGCTCGAAAAATTGTTTCTAAATTTATCCACAATCAATCGTGAATTTTTCGTAATCCTTTTGCGAAAAATCGAGTTTCCTTTTTTTAAATAATAAACGAACTGTATTTACAGCCTGGTCTAATGTTCGCGGTAAACGAAGTTCTATCTGGTAAATAATTATTTTCCTACTTACGTGTGAGTGTTAAGGGGTTTGGAATGGGATTGCGGAGGTCAGGAACAACCCTTGGAAGGCCGTCGTTAGAGAGATTTTCCGCCATCAGGTGGCAACAGGAGGATATTTCACGATCGGTCGATCATCGAGGAGGGAGGGGGGTGTTGCGCACAAAGGGCTTGGAAGAAAAGTCGAAGGGGAGGCCTTGCGCGTTGTGCCGGGTCAGTGAAAAATCTTCAAAGAAACCTGAAAGGTTCGGATCCTCACGCTTTATGTATTAATAACGTAATCGATTAGAGGGGTTATTTAATTCCTTCCTTTATTATTACTAAAATTCTTATCTCTCCTTATCTTGATGCAACTTGACTCGATTAACTTTCGAAAATCTCGAAACAAAAACGTGACAAATATTATTTCAATGGAAAAAAAAAAAAGAAGAAAATGATAGATTAATTTTTGTAAAAATTACTTTAACGATGGGATCGTAATAAGATGAATTACGAAATGGAGAGTATTATTTTATCATCGATTATAGCATATTGAAAATACTCTTTCATACTTTCATACTTTCATATTATCTTTCTTTATTTATCGTTTCGATCATTTTCCTTTTCCACGATTGGATTAACATTCGCGGTGCCCGAAAATGGATTTAAGGTGTTTCCACGATTTGCTTGACCGCATGGCAACTCTTGCGTTACGTGGATTATCGATCGCGGATTCTGTGACAATGGGGGTGTTTTAGCGTGCTGCCAGTCCCACCGCAAATCGGCACCGCTGCCCACCGGAACACGGTAACGCCTATTGTCACGCGGTGGATGTTATCGTGCCATCCCCGTTTTCCGTAACACCTGGCCCGAAGAAAATTGATACTAACAATTCTTCTCATCCCATTCCTTTCTCTCCGTTCTTCCGCGAGTGATTTTTCTTCTTCTTTTTTTTCTCCCCCATTTGAACGCGACGCGTGCGATGCTTGTTATCGGGATGAAAAGAATTTTACGATATCGGTAAGTTTTTTTTTTTTTTTTTTTTTTATTAATTTATTGTCGCTATTAAGGATTATTTAAGGGAATATCGATAAGAATCGAGCAGCTTATCCTGTTCGTTATTTAACGCGATTCTGAAACTTCAATTTCGTATGATATAACTCGTTCGTGAAAATTAATCTTTCGATGATCATATTTCAAGTTCAGATTCGAATAAAAAAATTTATTTTTGGAGAATGACCACGTATTGCTGGAAAAATTTAATAGCGATGGATTTACGAGTTTCCAGAGGGAAAAAGCTTCGAAAATATTTCATTGGAAATAATCAGTGAATGAATAGATAAAATTATAAAACAAATCGAAGATCTTTCAATTTCGATATTTACCTCGTATTTTTATCTCGTCCTCAACTTAATAACCCAACACCTATAATAAAAGTAAGAAAGATTACAAATCGCAAGAGCAAAAATAATACCAAAAGATACATAAAGTAAAAAATCAATAAACTTATCTCACGTTGACGTTCCCGCTTAATCTCGCGACCTACCCCTACGTTCACCCCTCGCTCACGCGTCGTCTCCCTCCATCTCTCCCCACCTCTGATAGAATAATGAAATAGCCGGCTCCGGAACGCGACCTGTGCACCCATCAAAGGCGACGGAGGCTGGAAAATCGTGGGGCGAATTTTACACGAGCGAGCGTGTAAAAAGATGGAACGGCACGATCCCTTTTCCCCGACCTTCTCCTTCCTTCGTTCGAATCTCTTCACGTTCTCGAGAAGAGGCGAGTGTGACTGCGCTTCCTCGTTTGCAACCAGAGAGGGTTGTGTTGGGGAGAGAGGGGAGGAAGGGGGCGAAATGATACGAGGGGAGTGGGGGTTAGATAGCGACAAACCTCGTCGTTTGGTCGACTGACTTTATGACGATGGCTGCCACCGTAAAAAGAAGGATGCTATGGTTTCGACGCATTCCTGAAGTTCGTCCTTCATCTGGCAAACAATAGGGTGGCTTTCCATCTTACTGTCGAGAGAGGGATGGTCAGAGTCTGTCTTTATTTTTACCAAAGGGTTGCCGTTTCCTTTTCTTGGGAGAATTTTTTTCTTGGTAGATTTCGAGGAGAATGCTCGTCCTCTTTTGGTTGGATGGATCGATTGATTCTTCGCTTTTTCGAAATTATTTTTGACCAAGTTAAATAGATCGTATTCTAATAGTCGAATAATTTGAATTAAGCATTCGATTGAATTATTGGAGATAAGATTTTCAATATTTAAGTTTTCTCCACTTTTTTAGCGAGAAAAAGTAACAGTTGTTTCTTTTGATCGGTTGTCTTCCTTCGATTCGAGCAGCTTTGAGAGAATTGGCCGGGTTCCAGGGGATGGAAGGGACCGGTCGAGGTAAGGCAAACGAAACGAAACGCCCGTCGGACGGAGAGGATCGATTCGTGACGCTTCGTCGTTGAATCGTCGTGAATTTGTAATTTTTAATTTGCTCGGCCTATGGAACGGGAGGATAGACGTCGGCTGCGTTTGAATTGATACGGTGTATAAGCTTGAACCTTAGGGAAGATGAGCCGAAGGTTGACTTTGTTCCAACAGATATCTTCTTCGAGGGCTGTTCCAGGTTATACGTAGAATCTCGTGCGTTTAAAATTTAAGAAAGATCTGTTGAAAGTTTTAATGTTTTATATATAGTCCGAGTTTAAATAGTTTCTCTTTGAAATTGCAACATCTTCCTTTCGATGTCTTGGTAAAAAAAATAATTTCTTTGGACAATTATCACGATTTTTTGGTATAAAATGATACTCGAAAAGAGAGATTAAAAAAACGAATTAATTATTATTCCAGAAAATCAATATCGTGAACATTGTCCTAAATTTTGAACGATTCTATAATTAATCCAACATCCGTACAATACAATTTTACACGAAACTTTTAATCTAACATTTTTGCATACCTTTGCCTTTAACCAAAACCCTTGAACAGGAATAAAAAAAAAAAAAAAAAAGTGTAATTTTTCTGCAGCAGAAAGAAGAAAGAAGTGGAAGCAGCAGCTTTGGAACAAAATATTTTGATGCATTTTAAGTGACCAAGTAGGATATCGTGCCGTTTTTACGTTACAAAGTAAAATTCATCTCCATTATGCGATAGAACACGCGATAGAATTTGCTATTCAAATGGCGAAACTCTCCTCAAGATGGCGGATACGTCAGCAAATGGCGAATCCTTTATAGTCTCTCCTCTTTTCCTTCCCGATAACTTTGCCAATTTTCTTTCTCCTTTTTTTATTCCTCCTAAAAAAACTAATCTCACACACGTAATAATCTCTAAAAATTCTCCAGACAACGGACGTATATATATATATACATACCTAAAAAACGAAATATCTATCCTTCTATCCTTTCATCCCCTCCACTTGGTGCAAATAAAACTGAAACTTTTCACCAATATCAATTTTATCCACGACTTTTTCATCAAACCCTGCGATCTTCCCCAAAAATTTCCACGTGACTAACCAACTACTCCCCTCCAAAATCTCCAAACACTATTCTAAAAAAGAAAATAAACAAATAAATAAAAATCCTCGCACCACCTTTCCTTCCCCTCCCCCGTCCTCGAAGGAACGAAATAATTAGAACGATCGTCGCCTCCTCGTCGCAAGGGATGAAAAGCCGGGGCACGAGAATACATTTCGCGAAGTTATAATTACCTGGACGGCGGTATGCTCGCGTCGCATCCAACGAGAGACAGTCTAGGTTGAACAGAGATAGAAAATCCTATAGACAATCACGCACACATATATAATATATATATATATATAGAGAGAGAGAGAAGGAGACAAAGGTGGCGAAGCGGAGGGACGATTGAAAAGGGAGAGGATTAGAGGCGAGAAAGAGAGGGGAGGGTTTATTCCGTGCGGGTGCACGGGACCTCTTGCACGGTGACAAAACAGGTCGGACAAGGGGTGGAAGGCGGGAATTTCGTATGGATGTCACCGCGATACGGACGAGAGTTTGCGACCATGCTTGGAAAGTGCACGTTCCCATCTCTATACAGCTTCTCTCTCTCTCTCTCACTCTTCCGCTCGGAGACTGTATCGCCTATCTTTCTCTTCGTCTGTTTCGCGTGTATATATATATATACGTATATAGCAGCACGCGTTATAGCTCGTCGCTCGTGCTCTCTATCCGTCTCTGTTGGACGGATTGTTGAACAACAAGCGTATATGTATATTCCGACAAGCGAGATGTGCCACCTGAAACTATGCTGGCTCGTCGAATGAGATTCGAATAGGTGGAGGGGGTGAAAGATATAGATATATATATAGTGGAGGTGACGCAAAGTTGTTCAGACGGACAACGAGGAGGAAGAAAAGCTCGCGTGGTTATAATTCGTTAAAGGAGCTTCGTGTTATATACGGAGAGGGATCCTGTGTGATCAATTTCTGATTCAATTTCCGTGGGAAGAGGAGGGGTAAATCCTTCTTACGTGTGCTGGTCTCTTTTTTTCTGGGGGATTTTGTGAAGAAAATTTGGTATTGCGAGAAAAAGAAATTGTATATATATCTTTATTACTTGATTAGAGTAATTTGTAGGAAAAAAAAAAAAAAAAAATTCGAACTTACGTAACTTTGTGAAGAATTATCGAAGATCCTACGATTATTAAAGTTTCTTAAAAAAAAAAAAAAAACGTACGAGGAGAAGAAAATGTCAAGAATTCCCCTGGGAGGAACGATCGAGTAAACGATTCGATTTGCGCTAATAGCATTATAAGCATTTCCGATCCGATAAATCGCGAACAGGATTGTCCATGCACAATACACCCTCAGCCATTAACTCGATCTTGCGACGTAACGGATAGAGCATTGGACGAACGGTTTACCCGGTATCGTCATCGATACGGAAGGAGAGGCTCGAAGACTCGTGCAACATCCGGTGATCCTGGAACGATTCATGTCCCATTACGACCGTCTCGAATCGATCAAATCCCCTGGTATTATATCGTTAATGGATACCTCTGGTTACGGAGAGGTAAACGTTACTATCAGCTGCATCGTTACATTATATTTGGCAAAAGGTAATAATCCTGGAGGAGAGGGAGAAGGAGATTCTTCTTTCTTATGCTCGAGCAAAATCGACACGATGAAGATTAAAAAATAAAGGAAAATAATTATACGGAGAGGAGGAAGAAGTTATCCAAAAAATTGGTCGAATCTTCCTTTTTTAAAAATTTCCATTAAATGGAACGATGTCCAAAGAACGAATCGATCATCGCTCCATTTCTTTTTAAGAAAATTTCTAATTATATTTTATTAACCTTTTAAAAATGGGATAATTGGTTTAGTAAGGTTTCTACAAGATAAAAATTCTGATGAAAATCTTGCTTCTATCGTTCAGAATACGAGGAGTGTCGCGAAGAGGAGGGAAGGTGTGTATCTCGTTAGAAGGAATTTGTTTTTCGAGAATGGACAAGAAGGGGAACGAAAGCGTGGTGCAAGCTTTGATTCGCGTGCACCACGAGTTTTGCTTATTTATTCCGGGCCGGCAATTCGAGACTGAAGACTCTGAACAGCAATTTCCTTCTTTACGCGGGTCACTCGTTGTGCTCCTCAGATAGATGCTTCTCCAACGTTTCCAAACTCTCACCCCTTCTTTTCCACCTTTAACCTGTGATTCTTAAACTCCAGGTGCTCGTGCAACGACTTCACGGTGCATTCTTCGAATTCCAATTAATCAGAGATTTCCCTCCTTTATTTTTATTTATGGAATTCTGCGATAGAATCTCATCACGTCACAATGCTCTATGTTTCTTTATTTTTTTTTAAAAATCGACGAATAATACACTTCGATACTTTGAAAGCGTTCTTCTTCTATTTCTTCTATAAGTTCTTCTTCTATTTCTTTACATTCAGAAAATTCCCTCGTAACCGTTGGAAAAGAAAATATTCCCAATTTCCTCGACGAACAGGTATCATCTCCAACGATGATCCTCCACGATTAAACCAGGTACGTTGTCCCTGTAAACAGCTCGTGGAACGAGCAAGCGAGCAAGCGGCGGACGCGTGGGTGGTTGGCAATCGACGATGCACACGTCGATGTATAGCTGAGGTGGTGAGATGGCTGCTTTGTGCGGGTGTCAGTCGGCGCATCTCGCGCCACTTTCACCGATTAATCGAGCATACAATCGAGAGGAAGCTTCTCTCTCGGCGGCGAGAGAGCTTCAACCGTGGAAATCAGGCGAGTGGTTTCTGGGAGGAGGGGAGGGTGGGTCGGTTACCTGGATGATAGCTTCTCTCTGTTTCCCCGCTCGTATAATCCCCCCTCTCCCCACGAAATCCTCCTTGCATCTTGTGCACGCTTCGATTAAACGAGATTTCCAACGCGAAACTCATCGCACACGTCGTGAAAACGTTACGATAATAACGGTTCCAAAGAGTGGACTCTGTGCGAAGTGGATATTCGAGGCGGATATCGAAGGTGTTTAAGAATATTTTTAAAAGATACTCGTTCGTTGGTATCCCTTCTTCAATTTCCAATTCTTTCGAGAAAGAATTCTCGAAAATTTGTCAAGCTTGTAAATCCCTAAGTAACGATTCTCTCTTAGAGTTACGTTTAAAATCTTTTCCTAGTTCATCCAATATTCTTGAAAATGAAAATTTCCAAAAACTCGAAGAAGAACAAATTAATATCTGAACGAAAACTCTTTCCTCTTGCTTGCAGGTCGAGCTTACACGAATTTCTCGAAAATTTGTCGAGCTTGTAAATCCTTAAGTAACGATTTTCTCTTAGAGTTACGTTTAAAATCTTCCCCTAGTTCATCCAATACTCTTGAAAATGAAAATTTCCAAAAACTCGAAGAAGAAACGAACTATATAATATTTGAATGAAAACTCTCTCCTTCTGCTTCCAGGTCGAGCTGGAACCGATTATCTTATACCTTACGAATTTCTCGAAAATTCTCGAAAATTCTCGAGCTTGTAAATCCCTAAGTACCAATTCTTTCTTAGAATTACGTTTAAAATCTTCTCCTAGTTCATCCAATACTCTTGAAAATGAAAATTTCCAAAAACTCGAAGAAGAAACGAACTATATAATATTTGAATGAAAACTCTCTTGTTCTGTTTCCAGGTCGAGCTGGAACCGATTATCTTATGCCTTACACGAATTTCTCGAAAATTCTCGAAAATTCTCGAGCTTGTAAATCCCTAAGTACCAATTCTTTCTTAGAATTACGTTTAAAATTTTCTCCTAGTTCATCCAATACTCTTGAAAATGAAAATTTTCAGAAACTCGAAAAAGAAACGAACTAATATCTGAACGAAAATTTCCAAAAACTCGAAGAAGAAACGAACTAATATCTGAACGAAAATTCTCTCCTTCTGCTTGCAGGTCGAGCCGGCACCGATTATCCTGTGTTGGGCAAGGTGCCTTACACGAATTTCTACTGCGACGACCAACCCTATCCAGGCTTCTTCGCGGACGTGGAGACGAGATGCCAGGCGTGGCATTATTGCGACATAGACGGACGCCAGGCAACCTTCCTGTGCCCGAACGGCACGCAATTCAGCCAGGCAGTGTTCGTGTGCGATTGGTGGTTCAACGTCAGATGCGAGTTGAGCCCTAAACTGTACGCCATCAACAGCAGATTGTACGGAAGGCCCACGGAGAGCCCGACCAGGCCCCACCGCCTCATCACCAAGGAGCTGTTGGAAAACATCTTCGTCAGGCGGAAATGAGGGAGGGAGGGGAGTGCTTCGAGATTTCGTCGATTCCTCTTCGCGTCTCGCGAGCAAAGATGGGAGTACGGAGACACCCTGGAATGGGTGGATTGGATTAGTGGAAAGCGTAAGATTAATCACTAATTAATGAAATCTCGAACCGATTTTCAAATAAGCTTGACTTCTCATCATGAGACTTTGTGTGACGATCTATGCGTGTGATCCTCGCGCGATCTTCATCTTCAATCTTCACTCTAACCTTTTGCAATGATCTTCGAACGATATGGTATGTATGGTATGTATTGGGATGATATAGAGATTTGCATCTGAAAAATATAAAATTCTAAGATTTACAGAGATTAGTTGGAGGATAATTAAATGGATTTAAGAAGCATCTATCGTATTTCTATTTCGATTGATCAGGCGAAGATTATTGTATTTATCTTTTTATATATAGATATATGTATATGTATGAATGAATGGGTGACGAATGTGTAGAAATAATATAGAAAATTAATATAGATAGATAAGAAGATAAGATAAGGAAAAAAAAAATGTGAACGTTCGAAAGTGCTATTACGGTACTCGACGAAGAAACGTTTGTTTAAAAAAAAAGAAAAAAAAAATTGAAAATAGATTTATCGACGTGCCACGAATTTTTCTGTAAAGATACCACAGGTGTCTGTCTACTTTTCATTCTGATCCTATTTACAGGATATTAGGATGATAGGATTAGCAAATTCATGCGTAACCTTAAGTTAGTAAGCGTGATTTATCACGATAATTCTAGAATTATGAATCGTGCTAAAAAAAAAAAAAAAAAAAAGAAAACTTATGTATACCTTTTATCCGTGAAAAAGTTTAGAGAAAAGTGTTGTGTGAAATAATAAACGAAGAAACAATTAATTTAAACGTCCATTAAAAATTGGAACAGCATTATGATAAATTTGGAAACCTATTATTTAATTTAAAGATTAGAAATTTTTCGTCAATGAGAAGAATGCTTTTTTTGGGCCACCAGTTTTTTCTCCACTCGAGAAAACATATAATGATGATATCCCTCCATTTTCCGTGAAAAACCATTGGAAATATCAATCGAAACGCTCGAGACAAAATAATCTCTCGTCTCTCGAACGAAATAAAAAAAAAAAAAAAAAGAAAAACAGCCTCGATTCAGGTAGGTATAAACAATGAAGAAAGAGAGAGAAATGGGAGGGAAAAAGAGAGAGACAAAAAGAAAGACTCTGATGAGCATCTGCCGAGATAAAAAGAGAGAAGAAGGAGGACATCCGCTATCCGATTTTTCTTCCCTTTCCCTTGATTCTTTAATCGTCGATGTGATCGCATTCAGGGAACAATGATCGTGAAAATTAAGAGCGAAAATCGATTTTTATCGAATAGCCGCCGAGTTTGGCGAACAGATATTGCGCGTGATGAATTTGGGAATGATCGATCAACGAAATCGAGATACGTGTTATTCTATGAAGAATTTTGCTACCAAAATAAGACAGGGATGGATTTCTTTTTTTTTTTTAATAATTAAAAAATTCATTTTTTGGACGACGATGAAAAGGAAAGATTAATTTGGTAAAAATACTTCTTTTGAAGAGTCAACAAAAATGAAAGGATATATACAAATTTTTAATCGAATCTTTCCATTAATCTGTTTTCACAAGAAAACAATTTTGAATAATTGTTCAATTACTAATTAAATTATATATAGGACAATCACGCGTGATACTTCGTCCACCGATTCAATTATCATTCCTCAAAATTTTTCTAGTTCTTCTTAATCATAAATATCGCGAAACGAAATATTCCTACTACTCCACATGCAAAATTAAAAATCACCTAAAATTCAAAATTCTCTCCTGATTCTATCCCACGATCGTCAACAACGCAAATATTCATTGCAATCCCACCGATACTCGCGCAGACAAAAGGGTTGACCCTGGTGGAATCCCGCAAAGAACCTGTTTACCCGCTCGATTATCCGATCGAACGACACGAAACGGGTATCAGGCCGTGTCTTACAATAGCGCGCGAGCAATCATCGGCCGCCCCAAGGGCTGAAACGCTTTCGCTTCGAACGCAATGGACCCCAATCGGCGAACAGTCATACGTGCGATTACACGTGGAATCGCGATTATACGAGCGATAATGGAGCTTGGGAAATTGTCGTGGCACCGCGGCAAACAAACAAACTCTGGCCACCTGCTACTGCTCCATACTCCTCCCCCGCCCCTCGTCATCGAGAGAATCCCGATTGGAACGGGAGAGGGCGGCGTGAAACGGTCGGAGAGGGTGGTTTTCCGAACCGTGGGAAGGCTTTCGGGCGAAGCCTATGATTTGGAGGCCAGGATAGGGGATTGGGTTGATCCTTGTTCTAAGAGTTGTAATTGATGATCCTTATGAGATTGGAGACAACTAGAAAAAGGATTAAGTTAAAAATAAAAAATTCTTGTATCTATTTTATATTTGTTGTTTGAAGGGTGTTGGATCGTAGAGAAAGAAAGAGAAAAATTGATCGAATTAAACGTAAACACGAACGAAGAATTTTTAATCAAACGGATTAAATTGTTCGTTTGATATTTTTATTGTAACTGGTTTAAAAAATTGTTAATTCGAAGGATGTTTATCCGGATTATTAACGCGTTTCTGACACGTATCCACGTTCACCTTTCATCGAGGAATAACGTAAAGTTAAATGTATCTACAAGGAAAATCGATAAAACGTGAAATTGGCTAAATCGTTTTCAGCCGACAAACCGTGAAACACACAATGTACATATATCGAACGACACGTCATTACTAATTGCCGGCAAACCTGCCGCTGTCGTATTTCGTTCGATTCGTGATACGCGCACAATTCTATTAGCGGATATCGATTCTTCGAAAGCGTTCACTCTTGACCATCACCAGCTTCCGCTGTGACGTTGCCCCCGCCTTCCCTTCTTCCGTTCCTTTTCTCGATCGATGCCATGTATCGTGTAATTCGCGTATATCGACAATGGGCCAATGAGACGATAAATGATAATTAAGTTCTTTTCCTTTTTTTTTCCTTTTTTTTAAATTTCGATCAATCTTTTTTCTCAATTCGTCGAGCTCGAACAAGCTGTTCGAATTATTATATTTGAATGATTTAAATTTAAATTTTCAGACGAAGAGTAAAGAAATGGATTGGTAGATCCAATTTAATTTACTATTATTATTATTTCTTTTTTTTTATTTCAATTGATTCTTAGATTGTTTCGCGGAAAAGGAAAAAAGAAAAAAGATTCAGGCGTTTAATTCGTCGTTATATTTTTTGAAATCGATATCGAAAATTGTTGGGGTGACAAAGTAATTGTTATTTGAGAAGAAATTGATCCTGCTGCATTGGAAGCGGAAAAAAAAAAAAAAGGAAAACAAAATAACTTGTTGTTTTTTCGTTCCCTTGTTTAATTCCATTGTTATATTTTTCTTTGAAACGTGTCATCAAGTTTAAAACAACAACAATTTGAATCGAAATCGATTTTGCCACAAACACGGACGGGCAAAGAAAGAAATAACTTAACAACGCACCGATTGTCCAGTTATTTATAAAAATTTTGATAAAATTTGAAATTTGAAAATAGAATTCTTTGTTAAATTTACGATCCCAATTCAATGTTCTACTTTTCCCGTTAAATTCATTATAACATATGGTCTTTCTTCGTGCAGTATCGAAATTCGTAATAACAAGATGAATATTTTCTATGAATTTGAAAATTCAATCGAACTTGACACGAAAATATAATCGAATAAAAATATATTATCGGTTTGGAAATTTTTTCTACGAAACAGGAAAAAAAAACAAGTATAAAATTAAAAGCATAAAACACATTATGACGTTATTAAATCGAATTTATCTTTCGATAAAATCGGTGCATTATGGAAATGGATCGTGAAATTATCAATTTATAATTTTTTCTTTTTTTCTTTTTAAATATATCCTTCACGATTCACGTGATCACGAATTAAATTAATCTATTAATCTATTTTTTGCGTGCACCATGTACAAAATTTATGTCAAAATGATAAATAGCCACGCGAGGAACAAATAAAACGATTATAAAGAAATAATTGAACGATGTTTTGTATCATTTTTTTTCTTATCCCAATTGAGTATTAAAAGTTAAGAACATTGAATTGAGATCGTAAATTTAACATAGAGTTCTATTTTCAAATTTCAAATTTTATCAAAATTTTTATAATAAATAACCATTCTTCATTATTGATCAAGCGTTAATTTAAATTCGACGAAAGTATAGCACAATTAATTAAATAATTAAATAATTCATCGACATCGTATACAATATAATTTATAAGCATGGGAAGAGTCAGATGTCAGGAAAGGAAGGGAAAAAAATTCACGAGTGATACAAATTGCGGAGATACTACCAAATTGGACAATCCTTAATTAAGATACGTGCCCTTATTCGCCAGATGGAGATGGTGGTCGATAAATGATAATATGATCAACTCATCGAGCTTTTATTTTCGTGAGAAAACGCGTTCTTTTATTCTCTTATCACGACGACCAACAAAGAAAACTATCATCCTGGTAATATTTACCAAATATTTACCAAATATCTTCCAAGGAATTTTAATTTTAATTTTATTTTTATTCTCCGCTTTTCCCTTGGAATTTTCATATTTTTGTCGATGAAATAACTAATTGTTTTTTTCTTTCTAAAAATTAAAATTCTAAAATAAATAATTAATCTTAATAATAACGCAAAATATCATAATCAATTTTTTTCCAATAATAAAAGAAAAAGTGAAATCCAAAGATATTCATTTATTTAAAAATTCTTTTCCAAAACAAAGGAAATGCCGAAAATCTCGTCTCGCATCGATATATATATATATATATATATCCACAAACAATTCTGCCAATCATCTGCCATTTCGTAGCTCGAGAGTTTAATATAACGGGACGATGAACCTTGCGCGAAATTAAAGTGAATTAGTTTCAAAAGTTCCCGATGGAATGTATCTTTAATGAGTGAGAGAGATAGAGAGAGAGAGAGAGGGAGGGGAGGGGATGGAGAGCGCCCTTTAGTAGCCATTCGCTAATGAGGAACGGTTAACGAAGAAAATTGCTGAATAATTAAAAGTTGCTTTTGTTGAAAATTGCACGATTCACTCGGTTGGCACGCGCCAATCTGGAAAAAAAAAAAAAGAAAAGAAAAGAAAAGAAAAAGAAAAAGAAAGAAAAAAAAGAATAAATAACGAACTTCCATTAAGCTTTCGTGAAATCTGTCTTCTCCTGGATGGATTGGATTTATCTTCTCGATCGTCTTTCGATACACGAGATAGATAGGAATCTAGTCTCTTTGAAGGGGAGACAAAGGATTTAAAAAAAAAAAAAAAGATCTAAAGAAAATAAAATAAAATAAAACGAGAAGAATAAGAGACGAAGGGAGAGTGGGATGGGGGGAGAGATTTCGTGTATTTTTTTAATTAATCCTCGATTTAAAGGACGAGATAATTGATGGAGATTTAGTAATAAAAATATACATTTCACGTACACAATTTCCTAGTGGCTCGAGTAATGCAATTTAAAACTCTTTCTGATGATTAACTTTATAGGAGTGGGATGTATCAAAATACGGTATGGCGGAAGTAACTTTTTTTCTTTTTTTGCAGCTTTGAACAAGTTTCATTTGAACAGGTTTGGGATTAAAAAATTTTCAGAGTTTTACACGTGTGATGTGAACGTGTTGTATACGTGTGAAAGTTGAATCGTTTCGTTTCTTCCACTTTTTAATTACACTTTTCAATTATACCTCGTAAAAAATATTTTACACAGCAATTTCTATATAGATGTACAATCTATAACAAATTTACTTTTAATTCTCCATCATTTTCCACAAATTATTACCCATCGAAAACTTAACATTGCAAATTTTGTTTTGTTGTTTCA